GGTGAAGTTATGGAAGAGTTAGTGTTGAAATTTTGAAGTGTTGAGATTTGTTGAAATCGGCCAAGTTTATGGCTGTAATTAGTGAGTTTTTGCTCAAATTTTGGTGGATTTAGAGAGATGTGGAAGTGTAACCAATATAGTAGATGCATGTGCATATGAATTGTTTGATAAAAATCCAAAGAGAAAATGCATGCATGAGTTAGCTAAACCCTATTGAAGAAAGGGTTAGAGAAAGGCAAGAATTGAAGTAGAAAGATTATGTTGGGCTTAACCAAGTGTAAATTTTAGTATTAAAGAGTGCATTTTGTTATGCCAAAATTTAGAATATCACTTGGTCATGTTAGTTCCATGAGAGAAATGGCCTTTAGTGCTTGGTTCTAGTTACTTGAACATTTACTACTTCTTGAATAGCACATGAAAGTGTTAGAAAAGAATTGCATGTTAAAGTGTTACTTTGATATGGCAGTTGTGATAAATGAGAATGGTAGAATATGTCATGACATGTTATTATGCCATAATGAGTTTTCAAGTTTGTGTATGTGAACTTGGAAAGAATACCAAAGAATGGGTTTGATCATGCATATATTATGCATATGATTTATTTATTATGTATAGCATTGATTTGGTAAATGAGAATATTAAAGAAAATGTTAGCAAAGAATGAGGAAAGAAAGAAAGAAAATGGCTTATAGATTCTTTTAAAACTAACATGCAAATATGTATATTTTCTCATTTACTAAAGAATGCAAGTGTAGAATTTCCATAACTTGGAAATTAATTTAGAAATGTGTATAATATCTCTTTTTATTCTCTTTCTATAGCATGTTATGTTATAAGGTTGTTGCGATGGAGAACTCGTGAGTGACAGAGATGCAGAAAATTCCCACATGCACGCCGCCATCAATGAGCGGCCTAAGCATAGCATAACAGAATTTGTACAATTCGTCAGCAGTGTATGTGGATGAGGACTGTACCCAGCATAAAATACTTACATGCATGCCACCATCAGTGAGCGGCCTCAGCACAGCAGAACATAATTAGTACAGTCTGTCAGCAGTGCATGTAGATAAGGACTGTACCCAGTATACAGTCACATGGCTAGGGTTCCAAATCCATGCCTCAACCTAGTCCAATCGGCAAACCAGAACAGCAAAGAAAAGAAACAGAAACAGAAAGAGATACAGCATAAGAGACAGAAAACAGAAAATAAAATAAAATTCTTTACTCAAAAAAGTTTATTATTCTGCATATGTATTATGCTACTTGCATGATTTAGCATTTCTTATGTGCGCGACGATGTATAGTTTTATTAATTGTCTTTACACATTGGTAAGTAGCAAATCAGAATATCAGAAAAGAATGCAGAATATTAGAAAAGAATGCAGCATATCAGAAAAAAATAAGTGAGAAAAAGAAAGTCAGAATATGAGTAACGGAGGAAAAACAGTAGTGTAGTTTGGTTTACTTACTGAGCAATTAGTGTTCACTTTGTTATTTTACTGTTTTGCAGGTACTAGATGATTTATGGTCTGGTGGGACGTCAAGAATCGGAGGAGTTTGGCGGCACTATCCAAACCTATCTTGTACTTATTAAAGTAAATTAATTATTTTGTGTATATACTTATATGAATTAAAATTAGAACTTTTGGATTTTACATTATATACCTATATGTATATATGTTTACAAAAGTTATTTAGTGGATTTTCTCATATATTTCTTAAAGAATTACTAGCCAAAGAGAATATTACATTTTTGGTATTAGAGCAACGGTTTTGGGAAATTGACAGTGTGCCTTTCCTACCGCGTTGACGTACCATAGCGGATCGTTATAAGTTATTTCTTTTTTCTCACTTGTATTAGTTGACTAATAGTGTTGGTCCTATGTGTTTTAGATGAGTCGGAGGACTCGATTCGGTAATAAGAATGCATCGAGTACGGGTGAGCCATCCAACCCGTCAGGATCTACTCCTCCTATCCTCGATGAATCGAGGATTCGTAACATTATTCAGCAGGTATTGGCAGAGAATTAGGGGAGACCTATATCGAAGAGAGTTGAGACCCAATTGTAGTACCTACCACTAGAGATGAAAGAGAAAGGTCGGCACCTCTGATAGTGCATAATTGTCTTGAGCCTATTTATGGGTTACCTAGTTAGCATCAGCCGTCAGAACTTAGAGATACGACTGACCCAATAGTGGCAGAAGAATTGATTAGATCTGTGGAGCGTACGACAACACTTTTTCCTATGACAAATTGGGAGAAGATTTGGTATGATAGTTTTTTGTTTAAAAGTGATGCTCGGATATGGTGGGAGTTGATGGAGGATACTCATTATGTAGCCACTGTGATCTAGAGAGATTTCAGACGATTGTTTGAGGCAGAACACTAGACATTTGATAGAATTCATGAAAAGTTACAGGAATTTATTAACCTATGACAGGGGATCAGTTCAGTGAAAGAATACTTCATTAGATTTAATTCCTTGGCCAGGTTTGCACCAGGTATAGTGAGCACACCAGAATTAAGGATGAACAAGTTTATGCATGGGTTTAAACCAGAAATAGCTTGAGATGTGATGGCAGGTGCCCAACCCCCTCAGACTTATAGTGAGGCTTTGGAGCGAGCTTTACAAGCTAAGGTATTTGTAAATAAGTTAACTCCATTGACTCCATCAATAGCAACGCCCAGCATTCCACCTCCCGCTCTATAGGGAGACAGATTTGACACTCCCAGCAATAAACAAGGGAAGAAAAAGAAAAAATTCTAGTCAAAGAAGAATAAGAAGGACTGGAAGAATAAAAGGCCAAGGACTATTGAGTTTCCCCAATGTCAGAAATGTGGGAAACATCATCCAGAAGAGTGTCTCATGGGTGTGTGTTTTAGATGCCGACAGCCCAGACATATGATGAAAGACTGTAAGGCCCCTCCTGCATCCACAGCACAGACATCCAGAGGTACTAATGCTCGGGTATTTACAGTTGCACAAAGTGAAGCCGAGGCCAGCCCATCTGCAGTTACTGGTCAGTTATTATTTCATTCAGTTCCCCTTTATGCATTAGTTGATTCTGGAGCCACACACTCATTCATTACACATGGGACTATAGAGAGACTGGGTTTGAAACCTATTACAGTAGATCATCCCATTAAGATAGAATTACCAGACGATGATAATGTGGTAGCTCGGGAGATGCTTTCAGGGGAGTCTGTAGTGATCCATGGAAGGATGTTAACAGTGGATTTGATTGTATTTGATATGCCCGATTTTAATGTTATTTTGGGCATGGATTTCCTAGGGAGATATGGAGTAAAGATTGATTATCAAAAGAAGAAAGCAAAGTTTAATCTTGATGACGGCAATAAGTTTAGTTTCGGAGAGGGCCATCAGCTTAGTATGTTAATCAGCAGTGTAAAAGCCAGAAAAATGTTAAGAAAATAGTGTTCCAAGTATATTGCCCATGTGGTGCAAAGCAGTGATGTCCCTCGATCAGAGATCCAGAATGGGCCAATAGTCCGAGAGTTTCCAGATGTATTTCTGGATAATTTGCCAGGTTTACCTCTAGAAAGAGAAATGGAATTTAGCATTGAGTTGGCACTAGGGACAGCACCGATTTCTAAAGCCCCTTATCGTATGGCCCCAACCAAGCTCTAGGAATTGAAGAAGCAGCTCCAAGAACTCCTACGCAAGGGTTTTATTCAACCCAGCCATTCTCCCTGGGGTGCTCCGATTCTATTTGTGAAGAAGAAAGATGGGTCGCTATGGATGTGCATAGAGTACCGAGAGTTGAATAAAATGACAATGAAGAATAAGTACCTATTACCTCACATAGATGATTTATTTGAGCAGCTTAAAGGAGCAGCAGTGTTTTCAAAGATTGATCTGAGGTCGAGTTATCATCAAGTAAGAGTTGCAGAGCAAGATATTGCCAAGACTGCATTTCTAACCAGATATGAGCATTATGAGTTTGTAGTGATGCCTTTCGGGTTAACCAATGCTCAAGCAGTCTTTATAGACTTGATGAACCGGGTGTTTCATAATTGTCTTGATCGATTTATAGTGGTATTTATTGATGACACCCTGGTTTATTCTAAGACAAGAGAAGAGCATGAAGAGCATCTTAGATGTGTGCTACAGTGATTGAGAGATAAGAAGCTGTATGCCAAATTTTCTAAATGTGAGTTCTAGATGGATCAAGTTATCTTCTTAGGCCACACTGTCTCAAAAGAAGGTGTGTCAGTAGATCCTAGTAAGGTAAAGGTAATCCTAGAGTGGCAAAGGCCGAAGACAATGAAAGAGGTTAGAAGTTTCTTGGGGCTTGCAGGTTATTACAGGTGGCTTGTAGCAGGATTTGCACAGTTAGCTAAGCCGCTTACAGCTCTTACCAAACAGGGAACTCCTTTCATATGATCAAATGCATGTGAAGAGAGTTTCTAAGAGTTAAAAGGAAGACTTACCACAGCTCCTATTCTGGTGTTACCACATGAGGGTGTAGACTATGATATTTATACAGATGCCTCCCTTCAAGGACTTGGTGCTGTGTTGATGTAGTTGGGTAGGGTAATAGCTTATGCTTCCCGACAGTTAAAAGAGTATGAGACAAGATACCCTATGCATGATTTAGAGTTAGCTGTTGTAGTTTTTGCATTAAAGATATGGAGGCATTACTTATATGGGGCAAAGAGTAATATTTATACCGATCATAAATGTTTGAAATATTTCTTCATCCAAAGGGAGCTGAATATGAGACAAAGGAGATGATTAGAGCTAGTAAAAGATTATGATTGTGAAATCAAGTATCAACCTGGAAAAGCCAATGTGGTAGCTGATGCCTTGAGTAGAAAAACCTTTCTGTCTCAGCTCACAGTGCAGAAAGAATTGTTGGAAGAATTTCTCAAGGAACAGATAGAGATGATACTAGGAAGAATTTCCAGGTTAGAAATTCAATCTACTTTACTAGAAGAGATTAAAGAAAAGCAAGTTGTTGACGAGTGCTGTCAGAAAATGAGTCGACAAGTGTTGGAAGGCAAGATATCAGAGTATCAGATTTCAGCTGATGTTCTCAGTTTTAGGAGTCGTATATGCATTCCTCAGGATGCTGAGCTGAGAAAGAAGATTCTTACGGAAGCTCATGACACACCATACACTGCACATCCTATAGCAACCAAAATGTATCAAGATTTAAAGAAGAGTTATTGGTGGCCAGGTATGAAGAAAGATATCAGAGAGTATATAGTAAAATGTTTGGTTTATCAATAGGTTAAAGCAGAGCACCAGAGACCATCAGGCTTGCTTCAGCCACTCAACATTCTTAAATGGAAATGGGAAAATATATCAATGGATTTCATTACAAGCCTTCCAAGAGTTCAAAAGGGTTATAATGCACTATGGGTGATTATAGACAAATTAATCAAATCAGCTCATTTTCTTCCAGTAAAAGATAGTACCACCTTAGATCAGTTGGCCCAGATCTACATCAGAGAGATAGTTAAATTCCATGGGGTGCCTAAGACAATAGTATCAGATAGAGATTTAGATTTGTTTCAACTTTTTGGACTAGTCTACAGAGAAACTTGGGTACCAGGTTAGAATTTAGTACAACTTACCACCCACAGACAGATGGCAAAACTGAGAGGACCAATCAGGTGCTTGAGAACATGCTGAGAGTGTGTTGTATGGATTACAAAATGACCTGGCATGAGATGCTACCATTGATAGAGTTTGCTTACAATAATAGTTATCGGTCTACAATTAAGATGGCCCCTTATGAAGCTCTATATGGTAGACGATGTAGATCCCCATCGCACTGGAATGAAGTAGGAGAGAAAGATGCTTTGAATGCAGCTCTTGGACCAGAGATAACTCAGAAAATGATAGAAGACATTAAGTTGATCAGAAATAGAATGAAGCAAGCTCAAGACAAACAAAAGAGCTATGCGGATTTAAAGAGAAAATATGTAAAATTTGAGGTGGGAGATAAAGTGTTTATTAAAACTTCCCCCTACAAGCGGGTAATGCGTTTTGGTGGTAAAGGAAAACTTGCCCCTAGATACATTGGCCCCTTTGAAGTATTATAGTGAGTAGGAAAAGTAGCGTACAAATTGGCGCTACAACCAAATATGGATAGAGTGCACAATGTTTTCCATGTGTCAATGCTTCGAAGGTATGTCAGCGAACCCTCCCATATCTTGAAAGCAGAAGAAATGGAATTAGAGGAGAATCTTGTTTATGAGGAGTTCCCAATTCAGATATTGGACAAAAAAGTTATAGAGCTCCGAAATAAGAGTATTACATTAGTAAAAGTTCTATATAGGAATCATACAGTAGAAGAAGCTACATGGGAAGTGGAGCAAGATGTAAGCAACCGCTATCCTAAATTGTTCAGTTGAATTTTGTAACGCCCACATCAAGGTACATAGTTTTACTTATGCCCTAATACCCTTAGTTAAATTTTTTTAAAGTTATCTTGAACAAGTGTGAAGAAAATCCCTTAAATTGTCATTAGGGGTAAAATGGTCTTTTCATTCATAATTAGTTGAAAGTGTGGGGAGTGAAAAGAGAGAATTTCATGGAGAATGCAATAAAAATGAGGGCATTATGGTAATTGACTAAGGGACATAGATGAAATTTCATAGAAAGTGCAAGCGTAAAATGGGAAACTAGAAATAATATTATGTTATATCAAGAGTTGAAGAATGAAACCCTAGCCATTCTTTTTCAAGGGAAATTCATAGATTTTAGGTTATTTTTAGTGGAATTTCAATCCCAAGCATCCTTAGGTAAGATCCTTGCACTAAGAAGTGAGTTTTAATTTTTAAAGTGTTGAATTTTGATGATTTGTGTTCATAGGATTTAAGAGAAAGAGAGTTGGATCAAAGAAGAGTATTAAAGAGTTGGATTGCTCACATCTAAGGTAAGTAAATCCTACCCTAGTTATGATTGAAGCAATATAGTGTAGAGAATTTCTTTTATGCATATATGTGTTTTATATGAACAATTGTTGATGGATTTGATGTTGAATGATGGTTAGAACTTATCCATGAGAAGTAGTGTTTGTGTATTTGTTGTTTGATGAGAGTTTGGATGAATTATGGAAGAATTGGAGTAGAAATTATGGAGTGTGCAATTTGGACAGGTTTGGTGTTAATCTTGGAAGATTTTGTTCCAAATTTTGGTGGCTTAGAAAAGAAGTAGAAGTGTAGCCAATTTAGAGCTTAGATGTGCACATAAGTTGTTTGATGAAATGTCAAAGAGAAATGCATGTATGAGTATGGTTATGTGTTATTTTGAGATGAGCTAGTAGATGGTAGAGAATGACATGTTTGCATTCCATATTGCATTATTGCATCTAAACATGTGAATCTAGAAAGAATTATAAGCATGAACCATCTACATGCATACATACTCATAAGAGCATGAAAAAGCATCAAAGAATATTAAATAGTAAATAAAAAGAAATGAGAATATTAAAGAAATTCAAATCTGAATTTTTATTTAAAGAAGTGTAAAAAGATAAAAGAAGAGAAGGTTGTTGCGATGGGGAACCCGTGAGTGACATAGCCCCGCATGCACACCGCCTTTAGTGAGTGGCCTCAGAATTCAGAAAGAAGAATTGTATAGTCCGTTAGAAGTGCATGTGGATAAGGACTGTACCCAGAATTAGAGAATACACTCACACGGCCAGGGTTCCAAATCCATGCCTCAATCGAGTCCGATTGGCAAGAAAGAAAGAAAGAATAGAAAGAAAGAAAGACTAGAAAAGAAATAAATACAGAAATACAGAAAAAGAAACAAAAAACTGAATAAGAAAAATAGAAAGAAAATGCACATTCTATGCATTTGTGCATTTGCATCATATATATGCATAATACCATGCCCATTATCTTGAGTAGTGGGAAATTAGAATAGAGAAAGAACAGAAAGAAACAGAGAAAGAATAGAGAAAGAACTGAGAAGAACAGAGAAAGAATAGAGAAAGAATAGAGAAAAAACAGAGAAAGAATAGAGAAGAATAGAGAAGTGTGATGTAAGGAAAGAAATTCAGCATTTAAGCAATGGAGAGAGAAGGGTAGCATAACGGGTTTACTTACTGAGCAATTAGTGCTCACCCCATTGTTTTTCAATGTTTTTGCAGGTAGTAGGTTAGATGCGGTCGCATGGAACGTCAAGAAGCAAAAGGGTTTGGCGACACTGTCGAGATACTATTTTGTGACTTTAGTATATTATGTAAAGATTTGTATATTAAGAAAAATTAATTATGGGCCCATTATTTCATACTAATCTATATTTATATATTTTCTTATAATATTGTTTATTTTCCGAGTATATTAGCTAGAAAGAAAGTATTACAAATTTCGCGGACGAAATTCTTTTAAGGGGGGGAGAATTGTAACACCCACATCAAGGTACGTAATTTTATCTATGCCCTAATATCCTCAGTTGGATTTCTTTGATATTACTTTAGACAAATGTGAAGGAAAATCCTTAAAACTTCATTAGGGGTAAAATAGTCTTTTCACTCCTAATTAGATGAAAAAGTGGGGAGTGAAAGGAAGCAAAATAATATGAAGAAGATAATAAAAATGAGGGTATTTTGGTAAAGGATATAGATGGGATTTCATAGAAAGTGCAAGGGCAAAATGGGAATACATGCATATATTACTAGATATAAGGTTTCATTATGTAACGCCCCACATGAGGTACGTAGTTATTGTTTCCTCTTTCGCTCTTATTTGAGTTGGTTTTTGGTAATATTGTTTGATTGAGTGTTGTGTTGAATGCTTGCCCTGAAATTGGTTGAAAATAGAAGAAGTTTAGTGTTTCAGTCTTCGCCGGGGCGAAGAAGAATCTTTCGCCGCAGCGAAGAGGTGTTGAAGCCACGGGAAGCTGCTGACAGTTTCGCCGCGGCGACAGAAGTTTCTTCGCCGCGGCGACAGGCCGATTAAAATGTTTGTTAAGTTTTAGTATTTCTTCCCAAAGAGCTATTTGACCATTCTACCCCTAATAGCAGGAAAGTGGGGTTAATTTAAGGATTTTTCATGGAGAATATGTTGATATGGGGTGAGTTTGTAATGAATCAAAGGTATAGATGGAATTCCCAAAGAAGAGTAAGGGCAAAATGGGAATGCTTTGGTATAAATTTCATTAAAAGGAATTAAGAGTTGCAAACCCCTCATTCTTCTTCTCAAAAACGCAGCTCTCCATTCTTGTTCCTCTCAACTTCTCTTTTCTTTTGATCAAGGAGTTCCAAGGGGTTTTTGAAGTGATTTGGGGTAGAAAATCAACCTAAGGCTTCCTAAGTAATTCTTACTTTGGTTGTGTAACTTTGTGAGTTTTAGCTTATATGAAGTTAAGGGTTTTTGTTCTTTTGGTTAAGAGTAGAGAAAAAGTCAAGCAAACCAGTGAAAGGAAGAGTTGGTGAAGTCTCTCCATAACAAGGTAAGTAACCCCAACCCAAGTTGAGATTTAAGATTTTCTTGATTAGGGTTTCATAGAAATGATGTATGTATGTGATATACATGTGATATGCCATGTATGAAGGCTTAAATAGAGATTTCTATGCCTTGTGATTGTTTATTCCTGCAAATATGAGAAATGAGTTTGTGGTTGGAAAGGTAGTTTGAGATGGAATTGAAGGGGTGTCATGGATCCCTTTTTGGAAGTCTTTCTTTGACAGGTTTCATGTTATGGAAGGGGTTTTTCCCCATTTTGGATGGTTAGAGAAAAACTTAGAATAATTGCTATAGTAGAGTTTTATGATGCACTTGAGTTGTTTGATGAAATGCCTAGTAGAGGTTTGAGTATGAGTAGTGAACCTTAATTCTTGCAACATTGCATGTTGGCATTTCATAAGTGCATATAGTGATGAACCATCCATAGGCACTAATTGTGCATTGAAAGTGACCTAAGAAAGTGTAGGAAAATTTTGTATGCAATCACCCCATGAGTAGAGACTTGGTGGGTACAACTACTCTAAGGGTAGAGAGAATTGAAAAATGTTAAAATAGAGTGAATTAGAAGAGTAGTATAGTTGGTTGATGCTTTGTGATCATCACCCGACAGTTGTGGGAATCGGGTTGATGCTTTGTGATCATCACCCGAATAGCCATTAAGAGTGGGTTGATGCTTTGTGATCGTCACCCGATAAGTAAAAGAAACGGATGGATGCTTTGTGACCACCACCCGGTTAGTTATTAGATAAGTAGGTTGATGCTTTGTGATCTCATCTGACGTTTAGTAGAAGTGGGTTGATGCTTTGTGATCATCACCCGACAGTGACTAGAGACGGGTTAATGCTTGGTGATCGTTACCCAAAAGTCATGAGAAGCGGGTAGGTGCTGTTGGTCTCCACCCGATTTAAGAAAACCGGTATGTGCTTTGTGATCCCCATTCGGTAGTCACTAAGAACGGGTTGGTACTGTGTGAATTCCACCCGATAGTCATGGAGAGTGAGATGGTGCTGTGTGAACGCCATCCGGCCGTACCTCCGGTAAGATGAGGCCATGATGTTTAGTGGAAACAGAAATAGAAACAGAAATAGTATAAGGAAAGAATTAAGCGTTATACATACGGGGACAGACAGATAGAGGGTTTTACTTACTGAGCATTATTTTGTGCTCACCCCGTTATTTTTCCTTTGTGGATGCAGGATCTAGGTGTTGATGCAGTCGGAGGGCCTTCGGCAAGCGAGGAGCAATAGCTACACTGTTTCCTCTGTTTTGTCTTTTAAAAATGAATCTTTTGTAAACAGTACTCTTTGTGTATAAAAGACATATGAATTATAATGAAAAGAAAACTTTGGGCCCAATTTTCTATTGAAATCGTGCATGCATTTTATTAGTTTTCAGCAGTTGTTACACATTAGAAGAAACCCTAACCATTTTTCAGCCCTTGTACACGCCACGCTCACCCCTTTTTCTCTCAAATTTCTTCACCAAATTCCAAAGGGAAATCATAGGATTGGCTTGGATTTTTTATAGATTTTCAATCCTAAAGCATCTAAAGGTAAGATTCTAGCACAAGGTGTGTGATTAACCTTTAAAGTTTTAAATTCTTATGGTTTTATATGATCTAGGTCCAAGAGGAAGAGACTTTTAGCAAAAGGAGGTCATGTCACACATTCAAGGTAAGTAAACCCAATTTTAGCCTTGATTTGAGCAAGATGATGACAATGCAAAATGTCATATTTACCCCCTTTAATGTCTTGTCTTTTATACTTATTTGTTGCTTAAATGTATTCATTATTATTCTATTTTGATTTAGGATGCAAATGGAGGCGTTAAATGCAAAACGGAACTAATTAGGTGAATTCGGACAGTTTTAACATCGCTTTGTAATCTGGGCATAACTCTCTCATCCGAGCTCCGATTGAGATGATTCAAAATTCTGTGGAACCCTAAGAAAGAGATCTACAACTTTAATTTTTTGAGTTTGGAGAGATACTCACTACATCAAGCTTTTAACCGGGCATGAAGTTGACACACCTGCACTGCTGAAGTTCTGGAACATGCAAGTCAATTAGGCAGTTTATTATTGGAAGATTTAAAGACCTGTTGCACACAAGTTACAGCTGGACACACCACTTTCCTAATTTATTTTAGGACTTTATTTTATTTTCAATTAATCAGAATCAGATTAGGATAAACGTTATTTTAGGATATTAGAATATTTTTAGGATTTAGTAGAATTCAAATACTTGAATTGGATATCTTTAAGAGGGGAGAGAGATCAGATTTGGGGGATCACACACGCCTCTCTTTCTCTATTCTGGAATTTTTCTCTTTCGAGTTTTGATTATGGCCATGAGCGGCTAAAACTTTTTGAACTTGGTGGAAGGAAACGGAGGCCAATCAATAAAACTGTGAGATCTAATCTGTTTTTTTTAGTGTTCAATATATGTTTTGAGTATTGGATGTTCTTCTATGCCTATTTTCATGATTGTTTCATTTAATTACAAGGAGGCCTACTAGTTTATGATTTGTTGCAATCTACTGCTAAGTTAGATATCAAATCCGTAATTGTTTGATCCTTCTAACTTGTGAGTAACTAGGGTTTAAGAATTTGCTGCGTCAAGAATTATTAAATCTTAAGAAGAACATTCAACTAAATTAAATACAACCGACTGTGTTTGTGTTGTTCAGCTTCATCGATTTCTCTAGCCCTTAAGGTTGCTACTAGATTAAACCTTTAGCACTTGTCTAGGGTTGTTTAGTAGTAAGATTAATTAGATCGTTTGTTTCCTAATTAACTACAACTAAGGAGAGATAGGAAAATAGTTCCAATGGTGAATACTCAAAGTATGAATTGATATATACTTGCATCAATGATCAGTTGTAAAATTCCGATGGTGGATGTTGACTTAGACCAAGGTTTGTTATTTTGATTGATTAATTTGAATTGTTTTTCTTGAAATTGTTTCCGTTTTACTCAAACCCCCCAACCTTGTTCACGTAACATTAAAACTCGGCTAGACACTCTCCGTGGAAACGATCCTTACTCACACTACTACATGAGTTTTTAGGTTTTAATCTTGGTTGCCTGCGATAGCACACCACAAGACTTGTGTAGAGTGATTCTTGCATGTTTATATGTGTTTGTATGTGAGAATTGTTGGCTGTTTTTGATGTTCAATGATGTGTAATTTCCAGCCATGAGAAGTTGTGTATGAGTATGTGGTGATTTGGTGAAGTTATTGAAGAATTAGTGTTGAAATTTTGAAGTGTTGAGATTTGTTGAAATAGGCCAGGTTTATGGCTATAATTAGTGAGCTTTTGCTCAAATTTTGGTGGATTTAGAGATATGTGGAAGTGTAGCCAACATAGTAGTTGTATGTGCATATGAATTGTTTGATGAAAATCCAAAGAGAAAATGTATGCATGAGTTGGGTAAACCCTATTGAAGAAAGGGTTAGAGAAAGGCAAGAATTGAAGTAGAAAGATTATGTTGGGCTTAACCAAGTGTAAATTTTAGTATTAAAGAGTGCATTTTGTTATGCCAAAATTTAGAATATCACTTGGTCATGTTAGTTCCATGAGAGAAATGGCCCTTAGTGTTTGGTTCTAGTTACTTGAACCTTTACTACTTGAATAGCACATGAAAGTGTTAGAAAAGAATTGCATTTAAAGTGTTACTTTGATATGGCATTTGTGATAAATGTGAATGGTAGAATATGTCATGACATGTTATTATGCCATAATGAGTTTTCAAGTTTGTGTATGTGAACTTGGAAAGAATATCAAAGAATGGGTTTGATCATGCATATATTATGCATATGATTTATTTATTATGTATAGCATTGATTTGGTAAATCAAAATATTAAAGAAAATGTTAGCAAAGAATGAGAAAAGAAAGAAAGAAAATGGCCTATAAATTCTTTTAAAGCTAACATGCAAATATGTATATTTTCTCATTTACTAAAGAATGAGGGTGTAGAATTTCCATAGCTTGGAAATTAATTTAGAAATGTGTATAGTATCTCTTTCTATTCTCTTTCTACAGCATGTTATGTTATAAGGTTGTTACGATGGGGAACTCGTGAGTGACAGAGATGCAGAAAATTCCCACATGCACGCCGCCATCAATGAGCGGCCTCAGCATAGCATAACAGAATTTGTACAATTCGTCAACAGTGTATGTGGATGAGGATTGTACCCAGCAGAAAATACCTACATGCAAGCCACCATCAGTAAGCGGCCTCAGCATAGCAGAACAGAATTAGTATAGTCTGTCAGCAGTGCATGTAGATGAGGACTATACCCAGTATACAGTCACATGGCTAGGGTTCCAAATCCATGCCTCAACCTAGTCCGATCGGCAAACCAGAACAGAAAAGAAAAGAAACAGAAACAGAAACAGAAAAGAAAGAGATACAACATAAGAGACAGAAAATAGAAAAGAAAATAAAATTCTTTTCTCAGAAAAGTTTATTATTTTGCATATGTATTATGCTACTTGCATGATTTAGCATTTCTTATGTAGGCGACGATGTACAATTTTATTAATTGTCTTTACACATTGGTAAGTAGCAAATAAAAATATCAGAAAAGAATGCAGAATATCAGAAAACAATGTAACATATCAGAAAAAAATAAAGTCAGAAAAGGAAAGTCAGAATATGAGTAACGGAGGAAAAACAGTAGTGCAGTTTGGCTACTTACTGAGCAATTAGTGCTCACTCCGTTATTTACTATTTTGCAGGTACTAGATGATTTACGGTCGAGTGGGACATCAAGAAGCAGAGGAGTTTGGCGAAACTGTCCAAAACTATCTTGTACTTATTAAAGTAAATCAGTTATTTTGTGTATATACTTATATGAATTAAAATTAGAACTTTCAGATTTTACACTATATACTATATGTATATATGTTTACAAAAGTTATTTAATGGATTTTGTCATATATTTCTTAAAGAATTACTAGCTAGAGAGAACACTACAGTAGAAGGTGTTATTGAAAACTTGATCGAATAAGTTGAAACATAACAACCTTGTTTATAGTAGGCTAATCATAATTCTACTAGGAAAAGCAAATAAGAAATCCTAATACTACTACTAAAACAATTAATTAAAATCTTAATAATACTAAAACATAAATTGAAATCTTAATACTACCAAAACATGAATTTTAAAATAGGGAATCAAGTAATATTAAAAGTAAATAAGAAATCCTAATACTATCAAAACAATAAGTTGAAATCCTAATACTACTAAAACATAAATTGAAATTCTAATACTATCAAACCATAAATTATAAAATAAGAAATCAAGTAATATTAAAATTAAATAAGAAATCTTTATACTACTGAAACAATTAATTGAAATCTTATTATATACTACTAAAACGTGAATTATAAAATAAAAAATAAAAATAATTTTTTTCTAACACTACTTCTATTAAGTTATAATATACACCGTTATTAAGTTATATATATAAGGTTGAAACTCCATACAAATCAACCACTTTATTCTTACATGAACGCCATCTACTTTTCACTATTAACTAAAATCATACAAAACCCTTCAATTTTATGATGCTAAATCTAAAGTTTAACTCACTCAAAACTCTCACAATTAACTTCAAATCCTAATGCTTCCCAACGTCAAGTTCCAACACACACTAATCACTTCTTACAAATAAAGGACTCAAACTTCATGCTCAATACACACCTAATTTACAAACATTTATTGAACACAAGATCCTAAACAACTGGCTATTTATACGTACATGAAACCATGCTATAAGTACCAAGTATTCCGAACTCAAAATTCCGGACCGTCGATCATTGGAAGGGTGATAAAGTTAATCCTTTCAACTAACATTAACTTCTCCACTTGCTTGCGCCTCCTTGACTCTCTTCTCATACTCGTCTTCTTCCTCGGCATCAGTGTCTTCTTCCTTCTCGTCACCTTCTTCTTCTCCTCCCCAGCCAAAGCCTCCGATGCATCGGGACACTGGAGGTGGAACTTTGGCTTCGTCAACAATTTTCATTATTTCTTCTACGGTTTGGAGGGAGAAAGTTGGGTTTTCTTTTCGGTAGTAGATCGCTTGAGCTGGCTCTGTTAGTTCCCTTGGCAGGTTCTTTAGAAACCATGGATGGTTCTTGATCTCTTTAATGGAGATTCTCTGTAAAACGAAGATGGTTCTAACAGTTTAAGTTTTCCATACATAAGAAAGTGCATGATAATAGATATAGCATCCTGAAGACGCTAATGAAACTGAAGGAAGTGAGCTTCGTATCATCTATAAAGGACTCATTTATTATGCTGAAATGGCCCAAACACTCCATCCCCACAATGATTTTATACTGTAAAAAGAGCAATATATACAGTACATACCGATGAGCTACTTAGAGCTCATCCACCAAGCTGCCAAAACAAACATGCAAATTGGTTGGATATCAGGATCCCTAAGTTCAGTAGATGGTGAAAGACCATAAAACCCAAGCATTTTGCCGGTTGCTGGAGGTCCAAACATTGACCATATTGTCGAGGTCCAAACATTGACCATATTGTCGAGGTCCAAACATTGACCATATTGTCCCTCAAAACCTTGGTTGAGGGAAGGAAAACTCACTTCTAGTTCACACTACAGCCCCCCAATCTCACGGCACAGCTTTCTGCTGGCCATAACTACAGGGTGTCAAACTAATCTAGACATGTGCACAACCCCACCAAAAAAATTAACAATATTTAATATAACCTAAACATCAAATGATGCCTCAACTTTTGACTAGATAAGGGTATCTAAGGTTTCAAGTTAACTCCCACGTTAAATATAGACATAGTCAGACTTTGCTGTCCTCTAATTTTTCTCTTTACTAATATTATTGTCTTCAAAATTGAAACTTTTGAAACCTCTAGGTTGCCAATAGTATGTCATAGACTCTGCACCAAAGCTACAGAGCAACACCATTATGAGTGGTTACTCTAAAAGCAAACTAAGATTCTTATAGAAAACAAAGCGACTTAGCATCATACATACCCTGGCTGGATTTGCAACAAATATGTGAGAAAGAAGATTTTTACAATCTTGAGATATGTGAACATAATCAGGAATCTTGTATTGTACAGCCATTATTCTCTGCAGAAGAACAACGGTAAGGATATCAAATGCAGCAAAACAATAGACAGCTAACGGAATAGGTGGGAGACTTATAAGAAGTATCTTACATTAATAGTTTTCCTGAAATTCTTTGGATCTTCCTGGTCTTCAAATGGGTATGCTCCCACCAGCATAACGTAAAGAGTCACTCCACATGACCATACATCTGCCAACTGAACAAACACAAATTAATATTAAACTGAACTGAACTTGCAACATGAAAGTTTTCAAAGACTTCTACAGTGAAGACCAAATATTTAAATGTTTCATGCAAGTTGTTATTCTCAGGTCAATGATTGTCTGTCCTGAAAAACAATAGGGCAATCAACCTTCACATACTTCAAATCGATACTTTAAGTGACAAAAAGAAAAGACAGCGTATGTTAAGAGCAATACCAAATCCACAAGCATAGAAGAACACCAAAGAGTGAAAGACATAAGATAAAAATAGGATTTATCGCCCTAAATCTGGTAAGCCAGATACATGATTAGCAATAGTTTTATACCAATGATCTCTATCTTGTATATCATCTATCTTGGCCAATCAGAAAACCAAAGACGGAGCTGGCCTTCTCAAATCACTCAGACAGAACATGAGTGATAGGAATAAACGAATTATGCTAAAATTGATGAATAATGGTGTCAAGCTGCAATAAACCACCATCTTGATAAATTCAAACTCAACAGTACATGAAAAACCTAAATCTGGAAATAACTCTTTGACCCAGAAGACAAGAAAAATTTGCTAAATATGTCTAAAATTTCGAAACTCATCATCCCAAAATTACTACTAGGCAGTCAATGGCATACTGTAAAGTGATCCAAAATCCTCATCCATATAGCTTGTGTAAATCAGAACCAAACTGGAGTCATCAGTCACAATATAACTGAATCATTTGCTCAGTGTTAATAAAATATGAATATGTCCTACGGCAGAGATGAACAAAATTACCTTGCCATCATATTCTCGGCGAGAAAGAACCTCAGGTGCAATATATGCTGGTGTACCAACAGTTGATTTGGGCCTTGAATGCAACAAAGATGACTACACAAATAAAGCATATCAAAGGATAAAAAAAGTCACAATCACTTCAGAAAACTAAATAAAGCTTATGAGACTGAGTTGCTCAACTAATCAAACCTTAGAGTAACCAAAATCACAGATTTTCAGGCGTGGTGCTGGGCTTCCATCCAACAAAGTATTTTCCAGTTTCAAATCTCTATGGCATATTTGCTGCAAAGAAGAAATAAGTAAAATACAATAAATTAACCAACCAATAAAAAGTATATGTATATGTTTCAGGTATTTTAAAGTCACTTTACCATTGAATGACAGTAGCTAACTCCTGAGATAAGCTGCTGGAAAAAATATCTGGCCTGGACATATAAAAATGTGCAACAACATCAAGAAAAGAGAACTTAAAAAAACTACCAATAATTGGTGCTAGAAAACGAAAGAACTCAGACAATCATATCAACAAATTACAATAATCACTTCTTTCATACTTGCATTCCTATCCAACTAAAGAAAGGGATGAACAAGGAGAAGATCATTGCAACTAAATTAACTTCATCAGGCTTAAGGCCGTGGACCTTTTTAAATCTTATCTGTCCTTCGAAATTAAAACAAAGCAAACCTCTCCAACCCTGACGTGATCAAGATTTATCCTAAGGCTCTACTACAACTACAAGAGATCTTACTAACTAGCTAGTTGGTATCCACTTCTTTCTTTGTATGCAGGTTACCAAACAAGTTTTTGCTTTCTTATTCCCAATCACATTTTCTTGGCAGCCAACCATAGCATAACAATCAGAGATGATAATACAAATCCAAGTTAGGAAAAAGAAAGCTCAATAGTAAGCAATCAAAGTATCAAACCTCATCTTCACTGAATCTTCCCGCATTGCAAATTCTCTCAAATAGCTCACCACCAGCTGCATACTCCATAACAATCGCCAAATGTGTTGGAGTCAAAACCACCTGCAAACTCAAATATCCATTAGATCGTTAGGGAAATAGTAACAGTAACGTTACTGAACTGCTTCGACAGTTGTAACATGCTAAATCATAGTCACATCCTCACTACATGACATCCACTCTATGTTACAAGTAAAATACTGCAAGCTCTAATAAACACTATATTCCAGTAACATTACCGTGACGCAATCAAATTACAGTCTTTTACACAAAAATTAAATTAAATCAATCCAAAACAAACCCAAAAGAAAATTAAACTAAAAAAAAAAAAAAATACACTAAAACTGACCTCCTTGAAGCGAATAATATTAGGGTGGCGAAGCGATCTGTGGTTAATAATCTCCCGGGCCACATTCTCATCAATCTAAAACCCACAAATTAAAAACAAAACCCATTAACAAACAAACTAGAAACTAAAACTTTGCCACACAGAATTTCATTTTCCGGGAAAATTTTCCCCCTTTAATTTTAAAAACAAAGTGAAATTCACCAAAACAAACACAAAAAATCAACATGCATGCATAAATCAAAATGTGAAGTAAAAAAACCTTGTGGCCACGCTCGATGTACTTCATGGCAACAAGCTCTTTGGTGTTCTTGTTCCTCATGAGCCTGGCCACACCAAAATTCCCAGCTCCTATGTCCTTCACGAGCTCATACTTCTCCATTTTTGGACTCACTAACTCACTCACAGGGTAGAATTTTGTACAAAATTATTTGTGTGCAAGAATCAAGTGGTTGTAAAATGAAAAAGATTGAAACTTTGGGGTGAATGTATAGAAATCTGAGGATCAGGGAAGTGGGGTGTGAAATTCAAAGGTGGGATTTGAGTTTGGAGAGATTTGAAGGAAAGAAAGGAATCCAAAGGTGAGTGAGGGAGGGAGGGAATTGTTGTGGGTGGTTTTCGAAAGTGTTTTTGTAAACGAAAAAGAGTGAAATGGAGAGAAAAAGGAAACAGAGTGGAAAGAGAGGAGAGAAAAGTGAGAATCTTTTGGTCTGATTCACTGTAAAAGAAAGAGTGGAGGTGGAATTCAAAGGAAAGGAAAGGAAAATGAGTTACAAATTGAGCTGAGAAAGAAATGAAGTATTATTGGATATTTTACTCTATTTAGGTGTACCTTTTTTGGGATGTTTTTATATGGTGCGGGCGACCTCGTTTAGCTTAACATGAGCCTCATCTTCATCAATGATTTTAGGGTTTTTATAATAAAATCCTGTATGTTTTGCATTTTTATAGTGAGCATCTGCTGTTTCTGAAAGGTGACCCTAACTCTCGTGTTTTTGGTCTTTTTTGTAGCAAACATTCGTTGGTTTCATAAATGCAACCTTAACTCCCATGTTCAACAAACTGTAAGGTTATTCTATTTAAGTTTTAAGGAAATGATGTTTTTACTATTCACCCAAATACAATTAATCTACCATTCAAAATCTATCAAGTATTAAGAGGTTAATATATTTTTTAGAGATTGAATTGATAAAATTGTTGATAAATTTAATGGTTGAATTAATGACATCTCTTAAACTAATGTGCTTACTATAAAAACGCCAAACACATGGAATTTAGTACTAAAAAACCATGATTTTATGATTAGATAACATATACTATATATCTCATGCTACGATTTGCACGCACTAGCCACACTGTGTGTTGTGGGTTCAATTGAACCCACTCAACTTTTTAAAAATTTAAAACAAGTATTAATATTTTATAGATTTTACAATTTTAACCCTATTTAACTTCATGTTGACCCCACAAAATGAATTATTAATTAATATTTTTTAAACTTTTTTTCTCTTCTTCGTTTCCTCTCCTTTTCTCTCATATTATATTTTTATTGATAATTATTTTATAGCATTTTAATAATATTACGAAAACCTTATCTACAACATTTTAAGAATGTTATAGATTACAAATCTATAACATTTTAAGAATGTTACAAAAAAGTAAGCTATAACAATTTTAGAATGTTATGAAAAACTAATTTATAGTATTTACAAAGTGTTAGCTAATATCATTTGTAACTACAAACAAGAATTATAATGTACTCAATAATAAAATTTAAATAATTATTAATAACATGCAAAAAGTGTTACCAAAGCCTCATTTTTTTAGTAACACAGATTGTAACAGTATGCTAAAAAATGCTACCATTTATCTATGGTACCACTTTTCGCATGTTACCGTGGAACAATTTTGTTTTAGTGGTTGGATACTTATATTCTTGATATGCGCTCTAATAATGTTTTTTGACATTAAATGAAATAAGTGCTCTTACTGAAAAGTTGATTCAAACAAAGAAGAACGTGGTATATCACTTAGTTTATTTACCTATGAAATTAGTATTCATATTACTTGTTGCAATTGCAAGTGTTGAAAGAGTATTTTCTGCAATGAAGATTGTGAAAAATTGACTACAAAATCAAATGGGAGATCAATTATTAAATTATTGTCTTATTACATATATTGAGAGAGAGATATTTGATGGAATTGTCAATGAAAACAATTATGCAATGTTTTAGGAATATGAAAAATTATCGAAGACAATTGTAGAATTGATAATTTGGTATATATAACTTTTAAAAATACATTTTTATGCTTATTACGTTAGTATATATTTTATTATAAATTTATCAACTTTGATGTTTTGAACCCACTGACTCAAAATCCTGGCTACATCCCTGACGATTTGCATTTTTAAAAGACAATAGTGGTATATATATAAATTAATTATACAACCGTTTCGTTTCACTCTAATATGAAAATCTTGTATGTTTGATATATCACATGTTTTTATTTGTTTAATTTATCTTAAATTCAAAGTCATCCAATTATATTTGTAACATAATGTTTATAAAAGAAAGTTTGTATATGTAATCAAGGGTGGACCAAGAGGCTACAACCATTAAGGCTTACGGTCTCATGTTTAAATCCATCCAGCTCCCGAGATTTAAGCGGATGATCATGGCGGTAGGATGTTATACTAATCACTTATAGGGATTAGTCAAGATACGCGCAAGCTGGCATGGACATCTTGTCAAAAAAAAAAAAAAAAAAACTACATCCAACTTTTTAGTAAAAAGAAAATTAAGTTTATAATTTTTTTAATAATAAAAAAAATTTATTAATCATTATAATTCTTTTTTTAATAATATAAAAAAAATTATTAATCATTATAATTCTTGAATTCCTCTCTTCTTATTTTAAATGGTCATCTTCTACTAAATTTTATCTTATTTCCACACCATTCTTCGTCTATTTTTAAATATTCTTTGTTTATTTTCTTTCTTTAATAATGCTATCTCATATTAACAATATTAGTAATTTTTTGTATACATATTTATACATTTTGTCACCCCTCTCAAAAATAATTTTCTGATTTTGTCCTTAAAAGTTTAATTATTCTTTTAAAAAATATATATTCTTGTAAACCCCCACGTAAGCGTTCTGATGCTATAAGGTATGTAATTCTACCCTTAAAAGGATTTTTATCAATAAAAGGGTAAAATGGTCATTTTGCATGCATTATGAGACCTGAATGTTGTAAAGTGTTAGGAATTGATGATACTGATAAGAAATATGGTTAAAAGGTCATGAAGGTGGTTAGTAGCGTTAAAAGGCATAAACTATTCCCAAGGTGTATAATGGTCTTTTCACAATAATTTATAGGAATCAAGTATCCATAAAATTGTATTATGGGTAAATTAGTTAATTATCTTATCGATTTGCTTGGTCACCAAGTAGAAAAGAGAAGTCAAATAGCATTAAAGGAGTGTAATAATTATGTTGTAGTAGAAATGACCAAAATGCCCTTATATGCAAAATTTATACCAAATGACCCATATCTCTAACTTTTGATGGCCAATCCCATTTGGGAATTAAAAAATGAAATATTTATAAGATATTTTCTTGGCTAAGTTGGCCAACACTCTTAGAACATCAAACTCTTTTCTTCAAGTCTCATTCTCCTCTATTAAAGGCTTAAATTCAAGCTCTCTCTCTCAAAATTTTCATAGGATTTCAAGTTGAATTTCAAAGGAGATCACATCCACACTTAAAGAACTTCAATTTCAGGGTTTAAGGTGAGTTTTAAAACCCTAGTTTGTTGTGATTTTTAGTTACAAGAGAAATTCATAAGTGGTTATGTGTGTAAGGTAGAAAGGGTGAACCTTTGGAGCTAAGGAAGAGTGTCTTTGTGCTTTGAATACTAAGGTAAGGAAAAAATCTCCCTTATGACTACAATTGATAACACCTAGGGTTGATGAAACTTACATCTATTTATGTTAATTTAAGTGTGATGCTATGTTTTGGTTATGGATTGTTTAAATGGGTGTGTTGATTGGGGTATATGTGCATATGGAGGATGTTTATGCCAATTAAGAGATTTGTAGCTGGACGATGTTTTGGCACTTTTTGGTTTTGTAAAAAGGGAGGTTTTTATGGCCTTTTATGCTTAGAATGATATGGCAAATACTATGAATGTGCAAATGAATGTGACATGGTTAAAAATGAATAGAATTCGGATTTGGCTTTTCAAGACTTACACTGTACATGCTTCACTGAATCAGTCGTAACTGAAGTTATAAAAGTCTGATTGAGCTGATTCTTGAAGTATTAAAAAGTTGAGAAATAGACCTAAAATTTTATGTTTTAGTCAAGAATCAATTCGAATTGGAAGATGAGGAAAAAATTTCTTGAATAGTGATGAACTATATGGCATCCACCTCCTCAAATAAAATTCCCATCTTTTTTATAATTTCTAATAAACCACTGAATAATCTTACTGTTGAAATTCCTTGTGTTGTATAAGAAATCAAGTGAATTAAGTTAATGAATTTAATAGGGAAATATTCATGTCATGGATTTTTGCTAAATTGATTGATGAATTGTGCAATTGGCTAAGGGTACATGTTAAATGAATGAATAGTGTGATTGAGCATGGGAGTTGTTATCGCATATGTTTGCATTCATAATGGTTATGCATATAGCTTATTTAGTTGACTTATGAAAACATTTATGAAATGTTAAAGAATGAATTCCATGAGTATCTTAAGGTATAAACCAAGATCAGAGGAATGAAATCTTTGTGGAAACCATGAGTCCTTTGAGGTGACGTCCAAGAACAAGGTAATGGTTCAAATGAATCCGATCGGATAATAAAGACTAATGAAAACATCAAGTACAGAGACAAAAGAAATAGGCATGCTATGTTTATGAATATTGCATAAGTCATAAATGTTCTGTGTTATATTATGTATGGTTATGTTTTGACTTATGTTTATGAGGAAAGTCCAAAGCGTATGACTTGTTTTATGAACTTGATAATGTCAATGAATGAAGGTCATGTCTTGTAGGTAGGTAAAGGTAAGATCCTGAGTAATATTCTTGTATAATAAACCTCAATAGTTTATGAAAGGTCATATTCCCTTACTGAGCGATTAGCGCTCACCCCACGAAATTGTTTAAAATGTTTTGTAGGTAAGAATTGAAGCTTGAAGCTGGGAGAGGCTACTGGGGAATGACATGCGCATGAAGGAATGCTTTTGCTATGTTTTGATTTTTTGTTGTAAATAACATCAAATGGTTTTTGGATTATGGATGTTGAAGTAAATATGTTTTAATAAACCTAGTATGACCATTTCCTTGTCAAATGAATGAAAAAGGTTAAATGATATTATATACCTATGATAATAACTCCGTAGGAAGCTAAATTTCTTGAATTATTTTATGGATATGGGATGTTTAAATATCATGCATTTAAAAAAAAAAAAAAAAAAAAAAGACAAAACAAACAAAAGTATAGGTTTTAAAACAAACTCATTTCCTAGGCGTGTCTTTTTTAGGTTCTCAATGGCCAAGATTTACTTGGAAAATACCCGGCTAAGGAGGGGTTTTACAATTCTCCTCGTTATTTGTTGCCTAAAATAAATTTTTCACTAAACGTTTCCATGTAGAACACTACAAAAAATTGTTTATGATAAAAGACAACATAGGACATATATACCTAAGAATTCATCCATATCCGTACCTCCATTATTCTTTTAAGTACGTACTAAA